GGTGCACACCTGCAATCTCAGCACTCAGGAGGCTGAGGCACGAGGATCGCCAGGAGTTCGAGGCCAGCCTGTGCTACATAAGTGAGTTCAAGGTCAGCCTGAACTACAGAGTGAGAAATAAGACCCTGTCTCAAAAAAAGCTGGGAAAAAAAAAAAAAAAAAGCTTACACATGGTATGAGAGGCACTCATGATGGGAAGCACATGTGGCAGGCAAGGGGCAGGAGGCACATGTGAGGTGGGCACATGAGCACGCTGGAGGCACACATGGAGTTTTACATAAGTGAGGGGAGTATACGAGCATGCAGGAAGCATGCACTGGTTGGGGGGATATGCACACTAAAAACATGGAAATAACCCAAATGCCCAACAATATTGTGGCGTATCCATACAATGGGAATAGTATTCCGCCACAAAAAGGAACGAAGTAATGACACATTACCCCAAGTGAAAGAAGACAGACACAAAAGGCCACATATTATATGAGTCCACTTCTATTAAAAAATCCAAAATAGGTTAAATCCATACATACAGAAAGTAGCTTAGTGGTTGCCAGAGGGAGGAATGTAGCCAGAAAGTAGCCAGTGGTTGGGGCTGGAGGAATGAGAAGTCACTAATAATAAGTACGAGGTTTCTTTCTGGGGTAATGAAAATGTTCTAGAACTGGATAACCGTAATGACGTTCAACCTCATGAATATATTAAAAATGACTGAATTATATACTTTAAGAGAATAGATTTTATAATCTATAAGTTATTTCAAAAAGAACAAAACTTTCATGGTTGGATAATAAAGAATATGAAACACTATAATGAACAAAACAGGATGCTGTGGAATATTTAGAATACATGAAACATTTTTTACTCAAAATTGAAAAACTGACTGCAGTAGCTGAAAGATGCAGAATCTTTTTCTTGTTCAGTGAATTGAAAAAAAAATTCTTGAACCCAAGCCATGCCTAGGTAATGAACAAATCAAAAACCATGAAAACATGCTGTTCTAATTTTCTACTACAGTACTATACACTACACACTGAAATTTGTTCTGTAGAATAAAAAAATCTACACAAGCAATCAATATTAATGAAATACCTAAAGCAAACTCATAGCCTCAAATGATTTATATGATCTTTCTCTATTCTACTTCTAATCATTTCCAGCTTTAACAAATTGCACAGCTCTAGAACTATAGCCATTTCTACTGTAGTTATGTGAAAAGTTGCCAAAATTTTTCCTGATTAAACAACTTCATCCTTGTCATTTTACTGCTAAGATTCATACAACCATCTGACAAATTTGCATAATAAATGTTTAAGAATAAAAGATTTAAATATTATATACAAAGAGAGAAATAACACTTCATTAGATTAAATAAGTTATCACAACACACACTCTTACGTTTGCTTGCCTCCTGCTGAGAGTCAGGAAGAGGGTCAGAGACAGAGAGAGAGAGAGACGGAGAGAGACAGAGATCTGCACATACTTCATCACTTCTAAAACCCTAGCTAAAACAGCCACAAATTCCAGAGCTTTCCCAATTAAAGCAGAATTATTTAAGTAGGGTATTATTCAAGTTGTTGGAGCTTAAAATTTCTCAAAAAAACCTTAATGGTTATCTTGTTTAGTTAACACTCCGCTGTGTCTACCCACAAATAATCACCTAAGTTTATAACACCGCTTAGCTGGATATTTTAACAGAGCTGAGCTGTCAACTGTTTTGTTTAGTTGAAGGGAAAACATTTAAATTTCTACCTGTAAATAACAATGGTTTTTAAATGTTAAAGTATATGTATATATAAAAGTCTTATTAAAATATAGTTTAGCTATGACAAAGGTCATCACTGTAAACAGACAGGCTGATTTTTAGTAAAAGTACACAGTTGTGCAACCATCACCACAAAAAATTCCTTCACACTTGTTTGCAGTTAGGGTTTCTTTTACTGTGGAGGATCTATCACTTCTGGATGAGATGCTAAAAGGCTGTTCAGTCTTTTTGAAAGTCTCAGAAGGAAAGGAGAGCAAGGGCTATCAATAGTGACAGCTCTAGTAAAACCTCAAAGACTGAATTGGGTCCTGAAAGGCTGCATCCTAGGGATAAAAATGAATCAGAAATAAACTACAACTTCTCAGTTTCAAGTCATCTGGGTGATCCAGACAAAATATGAATCTGTTGAACTTAAGGTGGTTAAAATGATCCTGAGTTAGGGTGTGAGGGCATACGCCTGTAATCTCAGCACTCAGGAGGCTGAGGCAGAAGGATGGCCTCAAGTTTGAAGCTAACAGGCTACACAGTGAGTTCAAAGTCAGCCTGGACTATAATGTATAGTGAGACCTTGTCTCAAAAAACAAAACAAACAAAACAAAGCAAAACAAAATGCTGGGCATGGGGTAACACACCTATAACACTAGAGCACTTAGGAGGCAAAGGCAGAACTGCCTCAAATTCAAGGCTGGGGCCACATACTGAGTTCAAGGCCATTCTGAACTACAATATCAAAATACTGTCTCAAAAAAACTAACAAAAAAAAAAAAGAGAGAGAGAAAGAAAGAAAAAGGAGAAGGAATAAATAAGTCATAATGAAACTAGAGAATACTTTACTTTGAGCTAACTAAATATAAACTACTGCTATTGTATACAATTAAAATTGTTCTTACAAGAGGTTCTAGACTTAATTGAATATGTTAGAATGAAGGCAGGCTGAGAATTAAGAAGTTACTTACTATGTAAGAAGATATAGGAAATAAAAAAAGATGAAATAAAGTTGAAGGCAATAAAAAGCAGAAATGAATGAACTAGAAAACAAGTAATAGCAGATTTAACACAGTCAGAAGTTGGTTCTTTGCAAAGATTAAGAAACTAGACTCTTGGGAAATCTGATCAAAAGGAAAAAAAAAGTAGCCAATGTTATAACTTTAAAGCTGGGTGTGGTGGTGCGCCCCTGTAATCCCAGCACATAGGAGGCTGAGGCAGGAGTATCGCCACAAGTTCGAGGCTGCCATGGGTTACATAGTGAGTTCAAGGCCAACCTGAACTATATAGTGACCCTGTCTCAAAAACAAAGAAGTACAACTGACCTTGCAAACATAATAAAAATATTTTCTGACTGTATGCCAATAGATTTGAAAAGCTTGAGGAAATAATTCTTAGAAATATACAACTTACAAAAACCAACATAAGAACAAAAGTTTTAAGTTAAATTTTATAGTTGTAAGTTATTTTTTAAAATTATATTAATAATTTAATTTTTAAACTGAATAAAATTCATAACTCAAACCTTTCTACAAAGAAATCTCCAGGATCAGATGGGTCTGCCACAAAATCTTACTAATTGTTTAACACAGAAATAGTTCTCATTTTATACAAACGATTTTATTTTTCAGTCCTAGGGGACTGAACACAGGTAAGTGCTCTGCCACTGAGCTACATCCCCAGCCCTATGCAAGTTATGCCAGAGAATAACGAGAGACAGACAGAGAGACAGCAGCATTTGACATGTTTTTAACAAAAGCAATAAAGGAAAAGTAGAGCCCAAAACTATAAAGGAAAGGAGGCACGAACATGATTAATGTCGGAACAGTGTTACCCTTGGGTAGGAAGGTGGCAGTTTGAAGTGGAAAAGCGCTCTCAGGTGGGCTTCTGGGCACTGACAATGCTCTGTTTTCTAACCCTAGCGGTGGTTTCCAAGCACTGCTTTTTCCCATTTTGTATACTGGGGATTAAATTTAGGGACACTGCAGTGAGCTACATCCCCAGCCCTTCTCTATTTTTGGAGACAAGTTCTCCCCAAATTGTTATGTTGTCTGGGCTGGGCTCAAACTTGAGATCCTCCTGCTTTCGCCTTCCAGAGTACAGAGATCGTACCATCAAGCATTTGCTTTACAATTAATCATTAAAATTCAAGTTTCTGTTCTGTACACTTTGTTGCGTGTGTGTTATAATTCATAACAAAAATTTAAATTTATAAAACCAGTTGCACTTGAGAATAATATAAATATTTGTTAATATATACCTGTTGATATAATACTAGCTTTGTGGAGTTTTTGTTGAGTTTTTGTTGTTGCTCTTTTAGGGGCACTGTGGATCAAACATGCTAGGCTAGGGTTCCACCACCTGGAAGTTATCTTTCAGGGAATAATCTCTTTACTATCCACTAGCTTCCAAGTTCTATTAACACATATGCTTCTAGAATTAAGGTATATTTTGTAGTAAGGGCATTTCTTTTCAGTAGCAGGTATCAAATGCTGGCCTTGCACATGATAGCCAAATATTCTGCTACTGAGCTACAATCCCAGCCATCCATTCTTGAATATCACATACTACTACCATGGAGGTACTATTTGTAAAACCTAAATTCTAATCTTGGGTTTTAGTGCTTCAGTATTTGAATAACAACAAAGAGTAACTGATACTTTGATTACAAGGTGTACAGTAGATAAGCAAGTGAAGTGGGGAGTTTCAGTGTTCCTGGGAATTTCTATATCTGTTTCCTGTCATTGATTGTTTTAATCTATTTATCTCCAGTTTTGTCTACCCAGCCCTAGTTCAAAACCTGGGAATCTGTACAGAAAAAGCTTTTACAGAAGCAAGAAATTCTGTTTGGTGATCTGAAATATAAACTATTTTTTTTATCAAGCCCAAGCCATTTGACTGTTTCTTCACTAACTATAATAAAAGAACAGCTAAGTGGGACAGTGTGTAGCTCAGTAGCACAGCTCTTGCCTAGCATGCACAAGTTTCTGGGTTCAATCCCCACCCAGCAACACAAAACAAAACAGTTCAAATTTTCTTTTAACAGCAATTACAAAGTCTATGGTAAACTTTTGCTCTTATGCATTTTTCTAAATGCCTTTAACATCTCTTCTAAGGTGAATAGTAAACATCAAAATACGGCAGACTAAAACTGTTCTACCCCGATTATTGCAACCCAAACTCTGCTCTATACATTGTTACCAATTTGATAAATTTAAAATAAAAGTAATATTTTCATCATAAAATTTCTCACTTTCGGAACATGAGGATTAAACTCCACAGCTCTATGGATTGCTTCCACAGCACTAATTTCTGCTGTGCTTAGCCCTCTCCTGGAGGCTGTTTCTGGAGAGAATCTGTAAGAAAACCACAAGATAAAGACGTGAATATACCAATGAAAGAAAAAATTATGGATTTAGATCATAATGTAGCCCCCTGAGTCAAAGCAGTTTCTTGGAATGACCAAAGACAGAACCAGGTAACTACTAAAAAATGAAAGTGAAACCTTCTGGTTCAATATATAAAACAATGTAACACAAAGAATGAAAAATCTTCAAATTGAGGTAAAGAAAGCCTTTGTGGAGAAGGTAAGACAGTAATAAATATTATACAAGGACATACAGAAAATCTCATAAAATGAAGTACTGTGTTTCTTTTTATCCCAGAAGAAACAGACTGGGCATTTCATCCTTCTCAAGTCATAGTAATCTAAAATGAAAGAAAATAGCCACCACTTGTTTGCTTTGTAAGTATCTGGTTGGTTTTATTTGTTTTTGAGACAGGGTATTGCCGGGCACTCACTCAGTTTCTGAATATCTTATCTACAGAATAAAGACAATACATTAACAGGAGTCAAAACTATAAGAAAAATAGAATAATTCAAGCAGTTTACTGCATAATCTAAGAAACAACATGAATCCTATTTCCCTCTACACACCTTACCATCATACCAACTATTACGTGTGTGTTTTTTTCTAGACACTGCTTTAAGCATGTAACACACATCATCCTCACACAACTCCCCAACAGTATGAGAAGAAATGTAAAATAATTAACTTGGCCAAACTTCTACAGCTAGTATGCGGTCTGAATTTAAACCCCAGATCACTTAGTTCTAAAAATTCTTCTTTGCACTACACACAATAAACCTCAAAGCCAATGAAGATCAAGAGTTATTCAGAAGGAAGAAAGGAAAACGAGCACTTTAAAGTCAGTAGAGGAAAAACAAAACCGAATCTCTAGCAATCTTTCCACATTATTGTAGTTTTCACGATTACTTACTTATCTGAAACAGTCCTTGTTTTCAACAGTGCTGCTGTGTAGCAGATGGCTGCTGACTTTGGAAGGCTTATATCTGTAATAGTAATTTTTAATTATCTGCAAAAATGTCTTAAAGATCATTTTTCATAAGAATAATTCATAGTGGAAATTCAACAGATATAATATAGAAGCAAAAGCACATGGACACATTGTTCAAAGACCTGAGTTTCAATCTTGACTCTACTACATACTAGCTATGTATCCTCGAACTAGTAGCAACTTCTTTGATCTCAGTTTTCTCCAAACAGAGAATCATACTTTCTGGCAGAAATTCAATTATGCCTATGAAAGCCCTCTGTGTAATGGTGACAAGTGCTAAAAAAAAATGTTTATAATAATCTGCTTACAGTAAGACTATTCAGGAGAAAAGCCATAGCATAATTAGAACTATATAAAAACTCCACCCATTCATAGAGGAAAAACTGAGGAAAAAAAATAAAAAATTAAGAGTTTTTACATTTAGAAATTTAAAAATAAGGGTGATTTTTATTTTTCCATTTTCAAAATTTTTTTTACTTTTGTTTTTGGATACAGAATTTCAGTATGTAGTTCAAGTTAGCCTTGAACTCACTATTGGCCTTGAACTTGCAGCCATCCTCCTGCTTCAGCCTCCCAAATGCAGGGATTACAGGTGTGCACCACCACACCTGGCTTAGAGTTTCTATTTTCTATATTTTCTTAAATGATCATCTTTAATAAAGTGAAAAATTAATCTGGTACTATAAGTAAGCAATAAAAATAGTTTTTAAAAGAATGCCTAACATGCTGCTATAAGAAGAGTAATACTGATGAACTCTTTTGGTGTTTTCAGTTCCAGAGTTACACTAGCAAATGGAGAATTGAAAGTAAATATGCTTTCACCTATACTTCAGGATACTGGAAAGATAAAAACTATGACTCATGGAAACTGAATATAGAAACATACCAATTTAGGCTTTATTAATTTTTAGTTAGTTTTATTTTACTTTTAATGAAGCATGTCCTATTCTGATTTTTTATATTTAGTCCCTAAGCTTGTTCAACACAAGTATCATGGCCACGCACCCAGTAAGTTCCATATGGAAGAAATTTCTCACAAATTTCTCCATGAGCTTACATTATACTGAAGCACTGCCTAAGAATTCCAGATGTTTAAAAGAAATAAACTTCCCTTTCCAAGTACAACACATTTCAAACTTTTCAACTCAAAAGGATTCCCAAGCTAATGGGTAGGAACCTACAACAGGACAAGTATGACTAAATGACTTATATGCATTCTGTTATAATGAAAGATATGACTAGAAACACTACGATTGTTATGAAGTTTTCAGCTTGGGGTTAAAGGCTGATGTCTTACTCTAAATAAGGAGAAAGTTAATGTGTCTTAGAATTCTCCCAATTTCATTTGCTATAAACCTGAACTGTTAGAGCATAATTATAAAAACAGCCCATTAAATTTAATTATTTTGTGTTTTGTTTTGTTTTGTTTTTGTTTTTCTTCCGGTACCAGGAATCAAACTCACAACCTTGCGCTTGCCAGGCAAGCGCTGTGCCGCTGAGCTAAATCCCCAGACCCTAAATTTAACTGCTGTTAATGGAAGATTGGTGAACAAAGAAGCAGAATACCTGGATTTCAATTCAGGCTTGCCATTTACTAGCTGGGAGGTATTACTCAATATACAACCTTCTTAAAACTCCAGTTTCCTAATTTAGTACTATAACTGGAAAGAGTAAAACTACTTATCCTACCACCTCAGAAGATTATTACAAGGATCACATAAGATTATGAATTATGGTTTGTAACTAAAAAGCATTATAAAGATGTTATTCTGAAATGTTTTTAAAATAAGCAATTTCTGGGGGCTGGGGATTTAGCTCAGCAGCACAGCACCTGCCTGGCAAGCGCAAGGTCGTGAGTTTGATTTCCGGTACCGGAAAAAAAACAAAAAAAATAAATAAATAACCAACTTCTATTAGCCTTCCTTGATTCTCCAAAACAAACAACACACTTGACTGTGTGTAGAGCACTTGTGCTTTTCTAATTATCTCACCTAACAAGCTGTTCTCAATGTAATTGCTGCTTATTTGTCTACATGTTACACTGAACTATAAATCCTACAAGGGCTAAATCTATGTCGTCCTGTTCACTATTGTGTTCAAGTGCCTCACACATATTAATCACTTAATAAACAAAGGAATAACTCTTGACAGAAGAAAATTCCTCCTTGTAGGGTTTTGCTGCCAAAAGTCCAGACAAAGAGGATACTTAACATCTATTGTACTCATGCATACTAAATACTGAAACATGAAAAGAAAAAGAGAAAATTAGAGAAATACTAGAATATAATCATATTTATAATTACATAATTGAAACAAGAGTACTGTAACAATGCTGTCAACTAAAACAAATAAAACTCACCATCATATTTTGCTAGGACTGCCTGAACATCCGCATAGGCCTGTAATTCTAAAAGTGACTCTAACAGATTTTCATGGATGTTCAACATGGTAAGAGGAGGAAATTCTTTCATCAACTGTATATTAAAAGGAAAAAAAAGATTAAAATCGTAACAGAGGAACACAAAAGAGCTGAAACAGATTCACTGAACTACAAATTCTTTTGTTTCTTTATAAAACTGGAGACTCAAACCTTAAGAAATACATATATTAAATAAATACCTTGCTATAAAAATTGCCAATTAAAAAAGTGACTTTCTACTAACATAACATAACTTGCAACTTAAACTACGTTTTTAGATTTGGGAGGAAAAAATACAACAGTACAGCTGTCAAATTTACTTACATCTCTCATTATTTTCACCGCTTCTCTTATTCTTCCTAATTTCCTTGCACACATTGCCAATCTTCTTTTGATGTATACTAGTACATTGGTATCTCTCCCTGTTTATAAAAACAAAAGACACAACTATCACTTTTGTGCTATGGCCTATTTCATTAACATATTATGAATTAACTTTATTTGCTTACCCTGGCAAATTCAGTTAAAATTAAATTGTGTCAGAATGGAAGAATATTAATGATGTGACTGTTAAATTTCAATGATGAATATTGAATAGCAGTTCTCTTTTGTGTATGTTTGAAGTTTTCTGTATTAAAAGCTTAAAATATATATTGAATTACTTTTGCATCAAATAGAAACCCAAGGCAGTATATAAAAAGTAATTTATAGTTGGCACATTCATTTTAATATTCACATAAGGGAAATACATGTATTAGTAGTAAGATATAACATTACTTACTCAGTTTCTGCATAAACAATCTTAAAAAAAATTCTCTTTTGTTTTAACTGAAAAATTCAAACTTTCTAAAACAAAATTTTCATGGCTAGTAACTTTTCTTAGTAGCTAGTAACTAACAAATTTTTAAACTGTTTCTAGAAAGGGCTAGCAAAATAATAATACTTGACTTTGCACAAGGACAAATAACGTGACTTTCTTACAGATGTAGTTTCATTACAGCTAGTAAAAATGAGAAACAGAAAATGGAACATCAGGTTGCAAAATTAAAAATTCCACAGTTGTAACAATGTACATTAGTGAAACATACTGTATACACCAATATTTTAGAGAGAAAACATTATCCAAATTTTAATTTCTACATTCACAACTTAATCTGGTAACAGAAAGTGCATTATATAAACATATTTCAATTTATTGCCCAGCATTTGCCAAAATCATGAAACTAAAACTCTCTGGTCACAACTCCCGCTCCTCCAGAAAAAAACAATCCAGGATCAGCAGCACTGCTGATTCTAATTTCTTTGGTAAAAATGTCTCACTTTTGCCAGGCATGGTGGTATATTCCTGCAATGCCAGCTCTTGAGAGGCTGAGGCAGGAGAATCACCAAGAGTTCGAGGCCAGCTTGAGGTACATAGTGAATTCAAGGCCAGCCTGGAACGGTACAGTGAGACCCAGTCCAAAAAACCAAATTAAAAAAAGTGTCTCACTTATAGCTAAGAGAGCATCCTAAGAATGGAAAGAAAACTTCAGCTGGGGCTAGGGATATAGCTCAGTGGTATAAGTGCCTGCCTGGCAAGCGCAAGGTTGTGAGTTCGATCCCCAGTACCACAAAAATAAATAAATAAATAAATAAAATAAAAATAAAAGAAAAGAAAAAAAAAGAAAACTTCAGTTGTTATGGCCCATCTGATCCTAAATACATCATGGAGAAAATCAGCTGAATAAAGAACCAAAGCCACAAATAAGGTTGAATTTTGTGCCTAGAATCACATGGTGTGGAAAAGGCTGAGGAGCAAACAAAATGATGTGCCTGGTCAGGAGGTGGGGGAATGTGCCTCTACTATTCTCTTGAGTGAAGCAGAAGATAAAGGTAAGAGTTTTCATCAAAGTGAAAAGACTAATTTTAGAAAAAATTATAGCCAGTTGTCCCATAGATAAAGGACTCATATCTAGAACATATAAAGAACTGAAAAAAATCAGACCCCCAAATTCAAAGACCTAATCCAAAATTGGCCATCTGAGATGAATAGGCACTTCTCAGATGAAGAAATAGAAGTGGCAAAAAAAATACTTGAAAAAATGTTCAACATCATTGGTCATCTGAGAGATGCAAATTAAAACAACACTGAGATTCCATCTCACCCCAGAAAGAATGGCCATCATCAAGAAATCAACTGATAACAAATGCTGGTGGGGCTGTGAAGAAAAAGGAACCCTTCTCCACCGTTGGTGGGAATACAGACTGGCACAACCACTGTGGAAATCAGTGTGGAGATTCCTTTAAAAACTGGGATTGGGGGGCTGGGGATTTAGCTCAGCGGCAAAAGCGCCTGCCTGGCAAGTGCAAGGTCGTGAGTTCGGTTCCCGGTACCGGAGAAAAACAAAACAAACAAACAAAAAAAAAATACTGGGATTGGAAGTCTCATTCAACCCAGCTATTCCCTTTCTGGGTACCTTCCCAGAAGAATTAAAAACATCATAGTTACCATCAATAAATCTTCTCAGTACTAATTATCATCACTAGAAGGTTTTCCTGAATCCTAAGATTTTTTGACTTATGTTTCTCTAACAACCAGCCCAATTCTTGCATAAAAGAAGTTAAGTATTAAGTCTCAGAGCAGCATATTTCTTCTCAATAACCAGAGCAGATGTATTCTTTTCCACAAGCATTCTCTGGCTAATATATATTTCTGTCTTGCTGGCTTACAGGCATTCATAGATTAGAAATAACAAATCTTTAGTTATATTTTATGAAAATTAGCTAATCCTTCCATTTTAACTGTTTTTAATTATTATTATTTTGTGTTTTAAACATAAAGCCAATTACAGGAGATAAAAGACAGTAAAAATCAGTTCAAATTTGCTTACTCAGTTGAGCTTCATGCTGAGGACTTTGGTGCTGGCACTGCTGTGACCGTTTATAAATTGTTTCTCCTGCCTTGAGTGCCTGTTTAAATAACCTTTCAGCATCTACAATAGTTGTTGCTTCTTCCTCAGCCAGTAGAACATATGCAGTGGCACAGCTATGAAGAAAGCAAGCAAGGCAATTTTAAGTGAAATGGTAAAGCAAAAATTTTCTCTCGGGTATATCCTTTGCTCCATATCATGTTTCCCTTAGGCTTACCAACACTTTTCATTTCTTGAATAAAAAAAAACAAGAAGAAAAAAATTCATTCAATATTTTAATTATTCTGGACATATATATTCATTATGCCTAGTTCCATAAGTTTCTACTATTTCTCTTCTACTCTTTATTTTCTATCTTTTAAAAGTTCCATTGCCATTCTTTCACCCTTTGTCTTTTCTTTTTGTGGAAAGAAAAGAGCACATATAAAGAACTGTCTGGAAAATAGTTCTGGGGGCCACATAGTTCATTTTTTCTTTCTTTCTTTTTTTTAGTACCGGGAACTGAACTCAGGACATCATGCTGGTGAGGCAGGTGCTGCGCCACTGAGCTCAGTCCCCAGCCCTAGGATCATATACTTCAGTGATCATATGCATACTCTTAGTCACTATATACTGTACTTTGTATTACCCATCTTGGCTGGGCACCTATGGGACAGAGTAAAGACTGGGAAGAGAGTACCTTGGCTGACCAGGCACCTTTCATATCTGACTCAGAAATATATTCCAAGACTAGACCTTTCCTTCAAACCTGAGTATTCCCTTTGCATGTGGCCTCTCTCCCTTGGACTTATCCACAACAGTACGTAGCACAACTTCCCTTGGTCTGAATTCCAGTCCTTCCTTCCGTCCTCCTACGCTGTCTCCTTGTACTTGTGCTTACTCCAAGTTTTCTTCATCTCTAAACCAGCGATTTTTCTTTGTATCTTTTAATAGCTGGCTAATAAGACAAACTAATTCTTGTTTTTGTGTAAAAAACAAAAGATACATAGAGCAAGTTTCCTTCCTACTCCCAGGAATAACCAGTACATCTCTCCTGGGGGCAATGTCTTAGTTCTGATTATCAATGCCTACATTATCCAGCATTCCGGTCAGTAGCCACATGTTACTAGTCTGAACTGAGATGTGATGAAACTGTAAAAGGAACATGGAATTTTGAAGATTAAGAAAAATGTAAACAATTTCATTAATAGTTCTTATGATTTGGATCTAAAATGTCCCCCAAAGACTCATGTGTTCAAAGATGAGGTCTAGAGAGGTGACTGGATCAAGAGGATGCTAGCCTCATCAATGAGTCAATCCACTGATGAGTTAGCTCATAGCTGCATAGGCTGTTAGGAGGTAGGGCATGTCTTTGGAGGGTGGATCCTTTCTGGCTCTTTTCCTGTCTGTCTGTCTGTCTGTCTCTTTCTCTTCTTCCTGGCTGTCTTCAGATGAGCAGCTTTCCACTGTCTTACCGCTCTGCCGTGATATTTCACCACAGGCCTAGAAGCAACAGAGCTAAGAGACCTTGGAAACTGGAAGCCAAAATAAACATTCTCCTCTTGATTTAATCAGGTATTTGGGCATAATGATGGGAAGCTGACTAATAGTAGTTTTTAAAAATATATGTTACAGTAATATTTTAGTATCTTAAATATAGCTAAATAAAACACTTCAAATTTATTTCTTTTTCACTTTTTAAATATGACTACACACTAGAAAATTTAAAGTTACATATATGGTTCACATTATATTTCAACTGAGCAGCGCTTATCTAAACAAGAGAGTAGTAAAAGGACAAGGGCAGGCATGAGACAAAAGTGATGGCAAGACAGTGATCATCAATTAGGATCAGTAAGGGTCTTTCAGTTATGGAAATGCCATTTAGACAGCCTTCAAGCAGTATAAGTAAACTATATGATAATTTCATGAATCAGCAAAGATTTCTCCAGTATATTATACTGGATTTTTATAAAACATAGATATACTTTTCCTTTAAACACTGGGCATCTTGACTGCCATTTCTAAAAACCATGTTTTAAATAATCATAACAAAATACTTTTCAAGATAACTAGATGGATAAAAAGTAAATCTAAATATAAAATAACTGTATCATCTGAGAGGTTGGGGATTGAAACCAGGGACCTTGCTCATGCATGCTAGGCAAGTACTCTACTACTGAGCTACATGGCAGCCTCTAAATGTAATTTTAAATTATACTACAGCTGTACTGTACAAAATTTTCCTTCCCTAAAGACTTTCTTGTATTTATTCTTACATTTGGAGATATTAATACAAGAAATTATGAATTCCAAATGAATCTTACTTTGGGGAATGTCATTTTCTTAAATTTATGGTAAATTCCCATACTCAAATACACTTTTTTTTTTTGGTCTTTTTAAGATGGGTTTCACTATGCAGTCAGACAGCCTTGAACTCACTTTGTAGCCTCAGCTAGCCTTGAACTTACAGTGATCCTCCTGCCTCAGCCTCCCGAGTGCTAGGATTACAGGTATGTGCCAACTTTAGAGCATTTTGAAGCGTATAAATTGAGAAACTTTTAACATATTCTCAACATTGTGCAGCTATCACATACAGAACTCCAAAACATCTTCATCATCCTCGTAAGTCATTCCCCACCTCCCTATTTCCTCAATCTGTGGCAATCACAGATCTATTTTGTCTTGATAGTGTCCTTTGATGCACGAATTATTTTGATAGTCTAATTAACTTTTATCTTTTATTCCTTTTGTTTTTGATGTCGTATCTAATAAGCCATTGCAAAGTCCAAGGTCATGAAGATGTGCTCCAGGTTCTTTTGTCCTTTCTCACTCTTTTTCATTTTAGTGGTGGGGGACTGAGCTATATTCCTAGCCCTTTTGTCTTTTGAGACCGGGTCTCACTAAATTATCCAGGCTGCTTTGAACATGCAAGACTTCTGCCTCAGCCTCCTGCATTGAATCTGCAGATCAGCTTCAGAGAGTACCTACACGAACAAAGGATGACCTTCCATTTATTTAGGTCTTCTTTAACTATTTGAACAATGTTTTGTATTTTTCACTGTACAAACCTTATGCCTCTTAAATTAAATTTATTCCTAAGTATTTTAATAGCTCTGATATTATTTTAAGTAGAATTGTAAATTGTTCATTGCTAACATACTGCAATACAGCTAATTTTTATATTCTGACCTGAGCTTGTTTCTTGCAATATTTTTACCTATTTTTTTCTTTTCCACTGCTGAAGATAGAACTAAGGACCTCATACATGCTAGACAAGTGCTCTACCCACTGAGGTACATCTCCAACGCATTTTTAATTGTTTTATTAGTTTTTATAAGGTTTTTTCTGCATGGATTCTTTAAGATTTTGTGCATATAAGATCATCTTTTTTTTTTTGGTACCAGAAACTGAACTCAGGACCTTCTGCTTGCCAGGCAGGCACTGTGCCACTGAGCTGTGTCACCCACCCAAGATCATCTTACTTGTGAACAGAGATAGTTTTACTTTTCATCCAATTCTGATACCTTTTTTTTTTTTTTTTTCTTTCTCTTTTTCTTGCCTAACTGCACTGACTTTCTGATCTTGGAAAGCTTTTAGTTTTTCATCATTAAGCATACACAGTAGTTAGCTGTAGATTTTTCTTTTTAGATTTTTTTTTTTCTTTTTAGATTTTTCATAGATGCTCTTTAACAGGTTGAAGAAGATTCCTTAATTTTTTAATATTTTTAATGATGAAATTGTGTTGCATTTTGACAGTTTTTCAGCATCAGTTGAGATGATCACATTTTAAGAATCTTTTTCAAGGCCAGCCTGACTGCATAGCGAGATCCTATCTCAAAAAGACAAAAAAAAAAAAAAAAATTTCTATCAGTATGATATATTACATTAATTTTGTTTGTTTTTTGTTTTAGTTTTCAGACAGGGTTTCACTATGTAGTTCAGGCTGGCCTTGAACTCACAGCAATCCTCCTGCCTCAGCCTTTCAACTGCTGGGATTACAGGTATGTACCACCACGCCCGGCCATTAATTGATTTCTAGGTATTTTTCCATCATGAATAAGTGTTAGATTTTGTCAAATGCTTTTTCTGCATTGAGACAATCATTTAGTTTCCTTCCTTCATCCTTTTAATGTGATGTACTGCACTGATCAATTTTACACGTGGAACTATTCTTGCATTCCAAAAATAAACTCCACTTCGTCAGGGCATGTAATACTTTCAAGATACTTCTGGATTTGGTATGCTAGGATTCAGGTTTGGGCCATTATTTCCTAAAATATTATTTCTGCTCTTTTCTCTGTTCTGGGGCTCCCATTATGCATAGGTAGGGATGTATGACAGTGTCTAACAGGTCTCTTAGACACTTTCTTTCCCTTTATTCCTTTATTTTTTCTTGCTTCCTAGACTAGATAATCTCAATTGACCTTATTCAAGCTTGCTGATTCTTTCTTCTGCCTTCTCAAATCTGCTGTTGAACTGTTCTTTTCCTTTATTGGTGTCTGTGATGGTGAGCCATTATCCTCATATTTTTTGTTACCTCTTTGAACATTTTAAAAATAGTTTATTTACAGTCTATGGAATCCAAACTAGGTTTCTTCAGGGGCAGTTTTTAGTCATTTATTTTCTTTCTGGCAACTCTAGAAATTAGATTTCCTCCATTCCCTTTTTGTTGCTGCTTATTATAATTGATTGTTTAGTGACCTTTTTTGAGCCAATTTTATTAAAATCTGTGTTCTTTGTCATGTGTGACCAATGAGGTCTGTGCTCTCCATTTAGTCAGTTAATATTTTCATAGGAATTTCCTTAAATACCCAGAACCAAAACATACACGAAACACACACAGATACCCAAAAGCAAGTCCTTGCCATGGGCTCTGTGTGTGTGCTGGCACATCTTCAACATTCAGTTTACAACTCTGCCTTAGCCTTCATTTCCTGCTTATACACTATCTAAAGGTTAGCCACACATGAGAGCTTCAGGCATTGTCGAGTCTTTTCTAAGCACAGGCTCAATTCTAGCCAAGTGGAAAAAGCCTCTGAGATTCCCAAGAACATATGGGAGCTTTTCAAAGTCTTTATTTCCCCTAAATGTCACATAAATTTTTTTTTTTTTTTTCCCCACAGCTATGATCCCTTGTTCTAGACAGCAGCAGTGGCTAATATATTTGCCTAAAAATGTTTTCAATAAATGTTCCCCAAGTATAGTAAATTCAGTGCTGGAAGAAGTTCAAGTTAGTTGAAATAAAGGTAAGCTCTTTGCGCCAGTCCTTCAGGTAGCCAACCTACAGGTCAAATATAACCAGAGTTCCTTGAGAATAAGATCGATTTTACTTCCTCCAGCACTAGAAACCTATACTTGGAATGTGTACTACTGTCAGGGCTGCCACTGAGCTAGGCAGTGGAGGATGGTGCCAGAGTGACTTAAAAATACCACAGAGCTCTCTTAGAGAAATTCAGTAATTTTTCCCTGATTAAGCATTCACCAAGTTATTGTATACTTCTGACCATTTTGATTATGACAATTCTTGTCAGTTTATTCCCTCATTTTGGAGTTTGCTGTTCTGCCCATTTTTGCTCCACCGTTGGAATGTCTTCTTAATGAAGAGAATGTATCTATTGGGGGTTTTCAGAGGAAAACTCTAAATTCACATTATCTGGGAAGCACTCCTTGAGTGATCCCAACTGGGATTACATTTTTACTCTTTGCATTTATTTAGTATACAGTAGATTAATATTTATTAATCTGTCCCATTTAAATACTAAATTGACTCACGATTTTACATTTATCTTCTCAAAATATAAAATTGATACAAAGAGATAAAAAATAAATGCTGTTAACATGAAAACGCAACTAAGTTGACAGAGCTATGGTTTACTTATTTTGAAACTTCTTATGCCACCAAGTCAATGGACAACTCAAGTTCCTAGGACTGAATGAATGCTTTCAATGAAAAGCAAAATTAAAATAGTGGGATAAGTATTTTAGTACCCTTTCAACAATTAAGTATTATCATTCAGTTTAAAAAGAATCTCTAATTTCTACTTAAAAGCATATATAAATTTATAATTTTAGAAGCAAAATACAAGTGTCAATGAACACTACAAATTTTATCTCTAGAATGCAAAAAGAAAAAAGTGACACTAAGGACTCCAAGTGACTTATGAATAGAAAAAGAAAATGTAAAACCATTTTCCTGGGTTTATTTAAAGCAAACTTATTTTTCATATATTTAAAACTTACTCATTGTTTAATTCTAAAGCTTGATAGGCTGCTTTGATTCGAGCTGGAGGATTTCTTTCCCTCCATGCCTTCTGCATAACTGTAGGAAAAATATTTCAAAAAGTGGATGAGATGGTAAAATAAGTAATCTTATGCAAAACGTACGAAGAATGAGCTAGGGGAGTAAATAAAGCTTTAAACAACATGTTCTTAAACATATAAAACAAGAAATTAGGTTACTAGCTCACATTATGAAAAAATCTACATTAAACTTGGAAATTTTACATATAACATATACTTTTTCTGATTTATTTATATAATATCAGTTATTTAAGTTAATTACATCATTATTATACATGAACATTTATGTATCTAAATGCATGTTAAAATGAAGGGTGAATAACATTACATTATAATCAATATGAAATATTATTTTTATCATCCTGAAAAGATTCTATGGAATTGCTAAAGATACATAAAAACTTAAAAACAAAGTCTGTGCATTTTATATGAAAAGCAGGCGAGAGCCAGACATGGTGGCACACGCCTGTAATCCCAACACTTGGGAGGCTGAGGCAGGAGGATCATTGCAAGTTCAAGGCCAGCCTGGGCTACGCGGTGAGCTCAAGGCCAGCCTGAACTGCATAGTGAGACTCTGTCTCAAAAAGACACAAAAAGAAAGAAAGAAAGAAAGAAAGCAAAGCAGACAAACAGAATGAATTAATTTAGAATATAGTACATCTCTGGAAAATGTCAGCTCTACTGAGATTCAACAAAAGCCTGAGTTAGGATTTCTCTGGAATATTAGTTGTGCTACCATTTACTATACCAAAATGAAAATATCACATTAAATAACATCTCTTAAAAATTAACCAAACAAATAAACAAAATAGAGTCATGAAACTATCTGGTTTGTTTTAAGTTTGATAAGTAAAAAGAAAACCTATGACTGTTGATTTTGGAAGAAAGCCCATGACTGTCCAGAAAGAATAATGTGGAAAATGTTTGAGTTTTCCTTTGGAAACAAAATATTAGTCTTGGCTTAGAAAAGGAGACAATATATTTCACCGTATAATAAAAATACATTTGTCATATCAAATATGTCACCAGCTAGCTGACAGCTAATACTTCCTGTGCTTGACAAACTGATGCAAGTCAGCATCCATCTGATATTGACCAGGTAAAGTACATCATCCTGTTGGAACACTAAAATACTACATAAAAAGTTTAGTATTAAACTTCTGATTTTTGATGAGGAGGCTCTTTGCTATAAGGTAAATGATATTTATAAATCAAATTTGAATAGTGAATCTTTACCAACATTTTATATGGTCATTTAATATGCTAGTTTATTAAGTATATATCATAATTTATTTAACCAATTCCCTTTTGTTGGACAACTAAAGTTATATCCAGTGCTTTGATAACATTAAAACTGTGATAGCTAGGCATGGTGGTAACATGTCTGAATCCCAGCACTCTAAGAGGTTGAGGTAAGAGGATCTCAAATGCAAGCCCAAACTATGCAATTTAGCAATTTAAGTTCCTGTCTCCACATTAAAAAAAAAAAAAAATTTAGCCAAGTGTAGTGGCACACACCTGTGATCTTAGCACTCAGGAAGCTGAGGCCGGAGGATCACAGTAAGTCTGAGGCGAGCCTGGGCTACATAATGCAAGGACAGCCTGTCCTACAAAGCAAGAACTCGTCTCCAGAAAGAAGGAAGGAAGAAAAGAGAGAGAGGCAAACAAAGAAACAAACAAAAGATATTTTTTTGAAAGGCTAAGGATGTAGCTTAGTGTAAAGGGCCTGGGTTCAATCCCCAAGACTATAAAAAAGTAAAGTAAAAAGAGTATAATAATGCTCTTCCAATATCATTGTATAGCTGACCAAATAGAGTGATATTTGGTTGTTGAACAGCTCAACAACCAAGCTCAAACTTTCCACTACTCCAACTACAACGTTTGATTTTAGGTTTTTTTGCGGGGGTGGGTACTGGGAATCAAACTCAGGACCTTGTGCTTGCCAGGCAGGCACTTGTGCTGCTGAGCTATATCCCTGACCCAGAACTACAAAGTTTGTAAAACAAAATCTGCTCAGTGTTCCTAACTTTGCCCAGTAGTTGACCCAAAAATTTGACTTGAAAAAACCTATACAAGCCAAGACTCGTCAGTAATCCAAAAATCCAAAATCTGAAATAATCCAAAATTCAAAACATGAAACCCCAAGTGGAAAATCACATGTGATGGGTGGTAGTCTAAACATAAGCATACTAAAATACTGTTACTTTCAAATTATAACGCCTCTTGTGTCTTTAGTTGGGCTATCCTGACTGCCTTGATGTTCTGAATGAATTCAAAATGTTTACCTTTCATGGTCATTTTGACTTTGGGGAAGACCCAGAAGTTGCACAGCACCACATTTAGTAAATAAGGTAGATGAAGAAATATCATAACGTTTTATTTAATGGAAATTACCACAAATACTTGAATTGATTCAGGACATCAAGGCAGCCACAAAAAAAGACAATAATGAAAAAGAACTTACAGAGCTGCTTCAGAAAGTATTAAGAGGCTAGGTTGGTTGGGCACACCTGTAACCCCGCTACTCCAGGAGCTAAGGGAGGAGGACCACTACAAATTCAAGGCCAGCCTGGGCTACATAATGAGTTGAAGTCCAGCCCAAACTACACAGCAAGACCCTGTCTCAAAAAAACCAAAAAACTGGTGGCAAGAGTGACAGAGTAAGTTTGTTAGAAGTGTGAGGGAGTACTCTGAGGGAGACTTACAGCAATGTGTCTTCTACTATAGTAAATTTTAAAAATTTAAACACACTATTTTTTGATCAGCCCTTGTATGTGCATAAGATGTACATGAAACATAAGTAAATTTTGTTTTTAAGTTTGGGGGCCACTCCCAAAATGTTTCATTATGTATATGAAAATATTATACAATCTGAAAATATCTGAAATACAAAACACTTCTGGTTGCAAGCATTTCAGGTAAGGGTTACTCAATCTGTATTATCAATCTTTGCTGAACTAAGACTTGAAAATAACCTTTCTCTTTTTTTTGGTCTTTTTGAGACAGGGTCTTACTATGCAGTTCAGGCTGGCCTTGAGCTCACTATGTAGCCCAGGCTGGCCTTGAGCTCACTATGTAGTCCAGGCTGTCCTTGAACTCACAACGAATCTCCTACCTCAGCCTCCCGAGTGCTGGGATTAGAGGCATGCACCACCACACCTGGCTTACTTTCATTTGTATGCTTTGTTTTTCAAAATTTCTGATGAGGTTATTTAAACTACTTTTAAAGCATTTTTTCTTAATTCTTATATTTTCAGATGCACTATGCAGCCTTTCAATATATTCATCAAGGAGAGAAACATCAACAAAGAAGGAGGTAGCTGGCAGAGGCCTTCTCCCTGAAATGGGACTCACTGCATAAAACGAGTGGTCCAAACCACCAGACACACGGTGACTCCTGGCAACTCCAGAGGCCTCCACAGAGGGATGCAGCAGTAGAGAGGAGCAGTGGACATGAAATAACTGGCAGTGAGTGCTGAGGGCTCAGTCATCCCGCATGACAGAGCAATTGGCCAGGAGCCATCTCAGAGAGGAGCTGAGTAAGCTCAGACATCAGAGCAGCTGCTGGCTTCATCTAGCAGCACCCAGCTGGGCTCAGGCCCATGGAAGCTGTGCTCACAGCTGCAGGCTGAGTGAGTATGGTCTCAACCAGAAGGTGCAACTCACTGAGATTATCCACTACCCTGCCAAAAAGCTACTACTGGCTTGCTGGGATGAATCAACACAGATTGGGACTCTGTCTCCATACACTGACTATCAGTGACACCAGAGATATACTTGGAAGTGGACTTTTTCTTCTGTTGTTGTTGGGGGTTTTTTCCTCTCATTTATTTGTTGTTGTGGCAGTGGTGGTTTTGTTTTCTGCTTTTGCTTTTTTCTCCTGCATTGTTTGATCTTGTTTTTATATGAGTACAAATGTGGTTTCTAGCCTCTTTGTGCTTGTGGTTCTGTTGTCCTTTTATATCTTTCTTGTCTCCTTCTCTCCAGCTTTCTGTACCAGTTTCTCAAAGAGCATGGTCCCCCTTTGGCTACCAGCCTTATTTCTAATATCTTGTACTTCTTCCACTTCTCTATTTTCTCCCTAACTGATTTTAAATTTTAACCCCTGAAGGCAAAATTGACATATTAAGGACTTGTATACTGCATATAATTTTCTGGTTTGTTTTAGATTTTGTTATACAACCACAAATTTAGTTCATATGGGGAAAGGTGGCAAATTAATAGTCACTCAGTTTGTCATTTTGTAGGCTGTGTTTAATGCTACTGTCATTGTTGATGGTACTACTATAGACAAAAGTGATGTAATTGTTCCAAACAGCTGTTCTTCCTTGCATGCTAAGACTGAGACTGACTAATACTGTGGCACAGTGCCAGAGAACCAGGGGCTGGACCAAACAGGCAGCAACTCCTCATTCCCAACAAACTGAAGAGGTAGGATCTTGCAACAGACTCAAAACCCAAAAACCAGCTATACCTGGAAGATACCTCAGAGAAGCAGCCATTTCCTAAGGATTCTAAATACTATCAATAAAGCAACTCACCATAGGCAATTTACAAGCATCACCCCAGAAATTAAACTAAAAAGAAAAAAAAGTTAGAAGACACTTAAGATGCAACCTCAGACATCCATTTCACCAAAGGCAAACCCAGGGGGCAATAAGCTGGGACAATCTGAAAGACACCCATCTCACCTCTCTGAAGTGGTAACAACAAAGCAATTGAATGAGGCTCTACAAAACATCAAATAAGAAATAATTTCTCAGATAACTGCAAAGATGGTGTTCACAATGAAAACCATGCTTAGTGACTCTAGAAAAGATACAGACAAAAAACAGAGAAGGTTAAGAAAATTAGAGAAGCCATGAATGCTCAGCATAGGAAAGAAATGGAATCCATAAGGCAGATTCAAGCAGATATCCAGGAGAATAAAAATTCCATTGAAAGTATCCACAGCAGATTAAGCCAATGGGAGGCCAGGATCTCAGATACAAAAGATAGGCTTGCAGTTAGCAATTATGA